AGAGTATGGTTAGGGATGTCTAGTATAATGTGCTCAGCTCATATTTCTGATAGTCATTATACCATGGTGTGGGTGTTAATTGATGAACTATTGAAATTTCTGTTTTGTCAATTGGATGGATATGGATGGTTTAAATTGTCTATCAATGCGTTAACAATTTAAATGGAAGTTTTATGATTATAATCATATACTGGATGCATAATTTGGTCATACATATAATAGACTGTATTTATGTTTATTTTGGAGTATGGTTGATGAATATTTATTATTAATTTGTCAACTATATAGGACGGTGGCATACTAAGTATGGATTAGTTCAAACACTATAACCTACCTATTCTGGATTGAGGTGTGAATTTACCATAAAGGTTTAGTCCCACTCATATTTGTGTCATATCAATTATGAATTGAATGACCTACTTTGGTTTCTGGATGGATTGTTATACTTATATCAGACCACTACAAAGAATTGATGATATTTTGTATTAGGAGTATACGGACTTTATATACATATCATTATGGTGCCATGGTATGAGCTTGAGTCTCAGGACCATGGTTAGGGTGCATATATCACCTAGGATGGACAACTGGACACAGGTGTTGTTCCCTGGTAGGTCTAGATACACATGACCACAGTATGTGCGATTTGCATGGTATCTCTACTCAGGCTGAGACAGACCTATTGGACTAGTGAGCGTCCTATAGTGTGTATCTATATCTATATGGACTATTTAAGCTATTGCCGAGCTATCTAGGATGTATCTGCGTATCGGGTTTATGTATGGATTGTAGTAGTATGGAACTTGCATGTGGGCCTGACCCACCCTTATTTTTCAGGTGTTCGTGAATACCAGGCTTAGGGCTTGATCGTGGTGATGCAGATACAGACACTCACTCTTCCGACTATATAGGAGTTTCTTTCTTATTTTAGTCCTGGGTTTTAATTCTGTATTTCATTTACAGTTGAGGATTATTAGGGGTCCACTTGGTGGATTCCCGAGTTGTAAGGATTGGAAGGTTTAAATTATATTAAAATTTTATTTGAAGGATTTTTCGTATTTAGAATTCTTATCAGCTTATTATTATTTTATCATATTTCATTTTTTTTTTTTTTATATTCTGTATTCAATTACATATTGATTGTTTGGTATCCTTCGGATCTGTGCCCGGACTTGATCACCCGTGGCTCTAGAATCAAGGGGTATCACAGCGCCTTTTTTAATAAGGACAGATCTGAGATATTTTAGGGAAAGAGATAAAAGTGGTAGGTAGGGTGGTACAACAGGATAAGATGGAATCTTTTCGATCGATCTGACAATTGTTGGATCGGTCGAACTTTGTGGGATCTTTGGATAAAGACAAAAGAGCTTGGATCCATCTTGGAGAGTCTAGATCGATGAACTTTTGATTGATTGAAGTTTTCTTGAGATCGATCGAACATGCTGATTTCCACACTTTGCTTCATTCTGCTTCCACTTTGCTCCTTTTTTCCATCCAGCTTGAGTTAGCTTCTTTTAAGCTCTTATTTGGCTGAATTAGCTTATTTTAGGGATAAGCACCTAAAAAGGACAATAACATGAAATTAGTCTAAAACAGGAAAGTAAGATAGATAAAGGTCCTAAAATACCTAAGCTTAAGGGGTTTAAATGCACACTTTTCAGCGCTCATCAGAATAAATAATTTGCTGAAAGAAAACTTAAAATAATAATCCAATATTCCTCAAAATAAATTCTTATTAATAATAAAACATTTAATCAAACACATCATTTAAGCACATAATCAAATTAAACAAATAATATAAATAACACATAGACAAATAACCAATTAATCAAGTAATACTTAATTCAATTAAACATATAAGCAATTAGTCAAATAATCGATTAAACAATTAAAAATGTAATAAAAACAAAATAATAAATACCGAGATTATCCTTTTAAAATTAGGTATTACACTAGGAATTTTGAATTTTTGGACCTATTTGGGGGTTTTTGCATCTAAGTAAGGTAGGAGTTTCTAAGTTACAATTTCTTTGCCCCTTGTGAATTTTCTTTATAGAAATTGTTGAATTGTTCACTAAATTATGAATATTATTATGGTTATTTGAAATCTATGTGTAAATGAAGCATGATGAGGTATTTTTATGTGTTGTATGTGATAAGTTGTATGTTTAAATGAATTGTGATGAAATATAAATGTTTAGTTGAATTATCTACATGCTCCATTTATTTATAATGTTGTATTTGATGAGAATGAGAATATGACTTGGTGTGAGAATTTATTTTAAACTTACGAGCATGATGTTAATGAAATGTGTATAATTATATACTGATATTGGATAACATGTGACATTTCATACATTTATCATTGGGCATGAAATGGGAAAAAAAAGAAAAAATTATTTTATAAAGCAATGGAAAAATGGTTTTGGGAAAGAATTTTGAAATGAAAGGTTTGTGAAAAACCCGGTTGCCTAGGAGTTGCCTAGAGTCCGTGGCGTTAGTGCGACCTAGAGGGAATTAGGGAGATTGCTTTAGCGTGATTGAGTTACCTAGGCCCCAAATGACGCCATGGAGTTGCCATGGGTTGGGGACAGTTAGTCAATCTTCTTCTCGTGCCGCCATGGAGTTGCCATGGGACGGGTTTCGCTAATGATTTGGAGATAATGACGGAAATGTTTTGGAAATAGGGAGCGACATTGCATGACATTGCATAGCATGGTTCATTACAACTTTGATCCGTGGTGGTTGATTTCGTTGCTAAGTTCTCCCCGGCATGGCATGACCCCGTTTCCTTTGTTCCTATTCATTGTTTGGATTCATGGGGTTACAAGAGGTGTGTCTTAGGCACCACCTACTGAGTAATTTGTTCACCCCTTTATTATTAACATTTTTCAGGACACGGGAAAGAAGTGGCGGACGACGCTCCTCCACAGGTCTTGATGGGTTAGTGGACTGTTTTGACATACTTTGTAGTTATGATCTCATTTAATTATTATTTAACTTTTTTTTATAAACCTTGAAATGACACGTATAATATGTATTGACATAGGAAAGAACGGTAGTATATGTATTGACATAGGAAAGAACGATAGTATCCTTAGTTGACCTCGGGTTCAGGTAAGAATTCGGTTAGCGATTCGGACTCACGGGTTCGGGTCATTACAATTTCATTTCTATATGCTTTTAAGATTTGAAGGTAAGTTTGTTATAGATAAATTCAAAATAAAATAGTAAAGAAAAATGTTTAACAAATGTGTCACTAAACGATGTTTTCTGTTTTTGTTTTCAAAATTGTGACAACAAAAAGGGTTTAATAAACACTATTTTATTTTTTGTTTTCACTCAAAGAAAACAAAATTATATTTCTATTTCTTGCTGAAGCAAAAATAGGAAACATTTCATGTTAGTGAACGCACCCTTAGCTCACAAAACAAGCTCGTTATCTAGCTTTTTGAAGAAACTTCTTACTTAGCTTACCAAAGAAGCCCATTCTTTATGCTAAATAATATATCAAGTGAACTTGTGTTTTATGTATGTACTTGACAAGTAAATAAAATAAATATTTTCACTTCACTACTCTCTGTCTCATTGTTTTTTCATATTTATTTAATTCTCTTTTTTCTTGTTATATCTATAATGTTGCGTTTGGTGTGCATGAATGGAATGTAATGCAAGTGTGAATGGAATGCGAATAGGAATGGAATGAAAATGGGAATGGAATGAAATGGTCATTCTCATTCTATTGTTTGGTTGTAAATATGAAATGTGTAGGAATAAAATCATAATAACCATTTTAGTGTTTGTTTTGACCAATTTAAAATTTAGAATGGAATAAATTTCAATTTGAGTCCTCCAAAATATCTCTTTTAGTAAGAAATAAATTAAATTAACAAAATGACATTTTTTTTATAATTATTTTTTTTTTTTTTAAAAAAATAAATGGTGGAAGTAGCGGTGGTGGATGGTGGTGGAGGTGGATAGCGGTAGTAATGGGGTGGGGAGGCGGCGGTGGTGGCAATGGTGGAAGGTGGCGGCGGCGGTGGTGGAAGGCGGCAGTGGTGTTGGTGGAAGGTGGTGGCAGTAGTGTGGTGGTGGTAGAAGAAGATAGTGGTGTAGGTGACAGTGGCAGAAGCTAATGGAGGTGACTATGGTGGTGGTGGAAGGCAGTGGAGGTGGCGGTGGTGGAAGGCAGTGAAGTTGGCGATGGTGGTAGTGGTGGTGGTGGAAGGCGGTGGCGGTGGCGGTGGTGGAAGGCAATGACGGTGGCGGTGGTGGTGGTGGTGGTGGTGAAAGGCGATGGTGGCGGTGGAAGGCGGTGATGGTGGTGGAAGATGGTGGCGGTGGTGGTGAAAGGCGGGGGCGCTGGTGGTGGTGGAAGACAATGGCAGATGCGGTGGTGAAAGGCGGCGGCGGCGACGGTGGAAGACAGTAGGTGAAAGGCGGTGGTGGAAGATGGTGGCGGCAGTGGTGGTGGTGGAAGATGGTGGCGGTGGTGGTGAAAGGCGGTGTTGGTGGTGGCGACGATGGTGGTGGAAGGTTGTGACGGTGGTGGTGGAAGGCGGTGTCGGCGGCGACGGTGGTGATGAAAGGTGGTAGCGGTGGTGGTGGTGTAAGGCGATGGTGGTGCTGCTGGAAAGCGATGGGCGGTGGTGAAAGTCGATGGCAATGGCGGTGGTGGTGCTGCTGGAAAGCGATGGGCGGTGGTGGAAGTTTGTGGTCGCCGGTGGTGGTGAAAGACGGAGGTGGTTGTGGTGGAAGGTAATCATGATTTTTAAACTTGAAACATGGGAGTTTTTTGGGAAGTTTATTTTTAACAAAATTTACTTCCACGGGTTTAGTTGTGGAATTGATTTTCATTATAATTTTCATTCGAATGGAATGACCATTCCTACTTTAAATTACATACCAAAAAAAGAAAGGGTCAGAATGGACATTTCATTCCAATATTTATTTATTTATTTTTTAGTATCTCGAGCCCGCTACAAGGCAAACGGTGTCGTCGTGCAATCTTCAGGCTATTGTTCATTGTAGTGTTGATGTGCGTTCGTTAAGCTCAATCAACCATTATCGACTTTGCAAGGTTACGAACAGTCATATTATCAATCAAATGGGAAGATGAAAAATGGCAGACTACCCATAATCAGACCTTCAATTTTCTCATCAACCCACAATCCCAAACCTCTGTTCTATCACAATTATACTTCTCCGCCAGAAGAGTGTAATTCTCTTTCTTACCCAGCAACCACATCTTCACTCTGCTCAGCTCTGCAACACTATATCAACTCAGACCGCCCTTCCCATGGCCAAAAGATCCACGCCCACATTCTCAAAACTGGGTTCAGACCCAACACCAACATCTCCATCAAGCTTCTTATATTGCACCTCAAATCTCGTTGTTTGTTATATGCGCGCCAAATGTTCGATGAATTGCCTCAACCAACTCTGTCCGCTTATAATTACATGATTTCAGGTTATTTGAAAAATGGGAAAGCTGAGGAATTTTTTCAATTGGTTAGAAGGCTAACATTTTCTAATGAAAAGCCGGACGGGTTCACGTTTTCAATGATTTTAAAGGCATCTACTTGTGATGGTGTTTTATTATTGGCAAGTAGTATAGGAAAGCAGGTTCATGCCCAGATAGTGAAATGTGATAGTGTGACTGATGATGTACTTTTTACAGCGCTTGTTGACTCGTATGTGAAAAGTGGGAGGGTTGATTATGCAAGGAGAGTTTTTGAAATGATGTTGGAAAAGAATGTGATTTGTTCGACATCGATGATTTCAGGGTACATGAAACAAGGATCTGTGGAAGATGCAGAGGATGTATTCAATAAAACTTTTGAAAAAGATGTGGTTGTTTTTAATGCCATGATTGAAGGTTATAGCGAATCAATTGAGACTGCTAAGAGGGCTCTTGAGGTTTACATTGACATGCAACGGTTGGATTTTATGCCCACAATATCAACTTTTGCCAGCATTATTGGTGCCTGCTCTGTGCTGTCAGCATTTGAAATTGGTCAGCAAGTCCATGCTCAACTTGTGAAGACTGCATTCTTTAGGGACATAAAAATGGGAAGTGCTCTTGTAGATATGTACTCAAAATGTGGAAGAATTGAGGATGCAAGGAGAATTTTTGATCACATGCCCGAGAAGAATGCATTTTCGTGGACTTCAATGATCGATGGATATGGGAAAAATGGAAATCCAAATGAAGCCCTTGAGCTCTTTAGCAGAATGCAGAGAGATCATACCACGGAGCCCAATTATGTCATGTTCCTCAGCACTCTTTCAGCTTGTGGGCATGCTGGGCTAGTTGCTAAAGGCAAGGAGATATTTGAGAGCATGCAAAGGGATTACTCAATGAAACCAAAGATGGAGCATTATGCTTGCATGGTTGATCTCCTTGGGCGTGCAGGAAGTCTAGTTCTGGCATTGGAGTTCATATGGGGAATGCCTGAGAAACCAAGTTGTGATGTTTGGGCAGCTTTGCTGAGTTGTTGTCGATTGCATGGTGATGTAGAGATGGCAAACATAGCTGCCAATGAAATCTTCAAGTTAAACGCTTATGGCCGGCCAGGGGCATATGTTGCATTATCCAATACTTTGGCAGCTGCCGAGAGATGGGACAGTGTAAATGAAGTGAGGAAGTCAATGAAGGAAAGAGGGATATCTAAAGATACTGGCTTTAGTTGGGTTGGGACTGATGGTGGTTTAAAAGGTTTTCACGCTGGACAAAAGATCTGAAAAATATGTAAGGCGATATGGAGGTAAAATCTTTTTTAATATTGTTGTACACTGTTCATTCATAAGAATTAATTGTAGAAGGTTTTTCAAATATTTATTTCTCAATTTACAGTAGGCATCTGACTCTGGTTAGGCTCTATGAACCCAGATCTTCTCTTGTGCTGTTACATTGCTTATGCTACAAATTCACATCGCTTATGCAACAAGTTTACATTGTTTATGCAACAACTACATTACGTTGCTTATGCAACAACTACTTTTTTTATGTATCTGTTGCACTAGGATGTAGTGTGTTGCACTAACAATCTATATACAAGACAGGACCAAGGCACAGGAGGGGATCCGGATTGTAGGCTCTATAGTTCTGAATTCTGATGATGCTGATGTATCAGTAACTAGAGATTCTATGAGCAAACCCATTCTGATTGGCTGATTGCAATGTGACTTCATTCTCAATAAAATAAGAGATATTAGATATATATAGAAACTAAATTGATTGGTCAATTAATCAGCATTGGGATGATCAAGATTTGTAGTGCATATCTGCGTAAACAGGCCGAAAAAGTTCATACAATGAACTTGTTGGTGCTTGACATTTAAACTACGGCAATCCACAGTTTGGTCAATAGTATTGGAGAATCAATGATGGACAAAGTTGGATAAGGCTTTGAATTCTAAATGGATGATTGTACGAGGGAAGGACTTAAGATTGCAGAAGATGACTAGATAGACAACTTAGAAACCCCCAAATCAATAGTGATGCAAGGAGGAGGAGAAGAAGACAAATTGGAAGGAGAAGGTATTATTAAGTATAAAAAACATAGGGGCTCAAGTGGGGATGAGCAATCAGTGGATGTAGTTACCATAAAATTAAAAGCAACTCCATTTTTGAGAGAAAGACAACAGACCATATATGGTTTGTCAGCTTGTAGTTGCCCTAATTTTATCATGCATTTGTGTGTGTGTGTGTGTGTGTTTGTGTCTAAAAATGCATATTTTACATTAATTCTTGGACATTTTCTTCACATTTGCATTGTATAAAAAGGGAAGATGTTACTTGACATGTTACTCCTCCAATCCTGATAGCTAAACAATCTAGTTGCTTCTTCTTTAGCCAAAATTTCAAGCATACAAATGACTGGGTCCACTATATTGAGAGCTTCAACACTGATCCTATTCATTTTACTAGCCAATGTGCTCATTTCAAAGACATTAAGGTACAGTGGGCATATATAACTATGCAGAAACAGACTGACAGTGAGAAATTTTTTCGTAAAAGAGGGTTTGATTTGGTGAAGATGAAACTTCTTGATAACAGGAGGTCAATGGAGAATACTGCGCGGGAGGCACCAGGAGGGCCGGATCCTCAACATCACTAGCAACCTCCAGCATTGGTCTAGACGTCACTCCGAGAAACTGTGGTACTAGTACTACTACATACATGCAAGTAGGCTAATAGCTGCAGAATTCTCCATATCAACCAAAAAGTGAGAAAATCTTTTTGGTTGAAATGAAAATTTCTGCAGGTATTAGCATTATCTTTACTTTTATTGAAGAAATTTAGTCCAAAAATCACACAACAGCTTGAAATCATGTTCCTACTTTCAGCTCAAAAATTGCTCGTGACATGAATATACGTCGCTAATGTTGTTACTTATCATCCATTTTAATGGTGTTTGCAGAGAGGTATTATGTCAATGGCTTCTCTCTTTTATTATTATGCAACAATATATATCGAAGATTATCGTTTTTTGAAGCTATATATATATATACACAGAATATTATTATGCTCTAGAAAAGAGCATGTCCTGCATTCATCCTAAGATGCGGCACAATCATCCTAAAATTTCCATGATTATTATATTGGACTCTTTTATCAAATGAAGGAATTTTGACTTACCCTAATAATTCAAGAAACCAACAGGCTAGTGGCCTAGCGATACCAAGCTCCTACTTCCCAAAGGGAGGTCAGGGGTTCGAGCCTTGGTGGGGGCATTTGTGTGTGAGTACCAACTAAAAAAAAAATAAAAAATTCAAGAACTCCTTGCATATATTCCAAACTATATAAAATAGTTTAAGAATGAGAAAATATCTCACTTGTCTGCTTAAACATGCGTTATTTTTATCACCTTCAATATTTCTTTTGTTTTTTTTTTTTTTTTTTTTCCTAGCATCTTACTGTTAAAGGGTGGGCGCACACTGGTGGAGGAGGATCTGAACCCACTATAGGAAAACTCCTAAAGGAAAATAACACTTTTCACAAAAAAACAAAATAAAAATAAAAATAAAAATAAAATCTAATATAATAATAATACTAAAATAAACATAATAAAAAAAAAAAAAAAAAAAAAAAAAAACACCCTATCTTGAGTGCTTGATTCTAAGATGATATGGGCAGTCTTGGAAACAAAGAATCAGGAATATTCTCTGAATGTCAAGAAATTGATTCTTTTTGAGAAGGAAAGGATGACTGTAAGAAAACAGATAAAGCAGCTCCTAGCATCCTAACCAACCTTGTATATAAATGTTCTTGTATAGAATATAATTAATGAATCCAATTCTTATTAGTAATGGCTTGTGTTCTGTGTCGTATTCAATTCTTATTAACGGAGAGGCTGGGGGGTTAGTGTTTTTTTCTCGGGGTTTGAGGCAAGGGGATCCCTTATCCCAATAGTTGTTCTTGTTTTGTACAGAAGGACTAACTTTAATGATGCAGAGGGCAATTCATACCAGGTTGTTGAAAGGAGTTAAAATTGCAAGATCCTCTTTACCTATTAGTTATCTTTTTTTTTGCAGATGACGTGCTTCTGTTTGGAAGGGCAACCATCGAAGAAGCTGATAGGATTAGAGAGATTCTTAACCATTATTAGAAGTTGACTGACCAACTGGTAAATTATGACAAGTCTTGTTTATGGTTTAGTCCAAATGCAAGTGATACAATTGAAGTTCAAGTCAGATTTTCTTTGGGGCTCACTATGGAAGGATGGAGAAATGTTTATCTGGGTTTACCTGTTATAATTGGCTGTTAAAAAGTTGAAACTTTCAAGTATCTTAGTGAGGAGGTGGCTGCAAAGGCAAATTTTTTGAAGGGTGAGCTAATGTTTAAGGCTGGGATGGAAGTTCTGATTAGAACTATTCCTTCTAATCTTCCAATCTATTCTTTCCATTGTTTTAAGATTCTGATTACTATTTGTACTGAAATTTCTAGCTTGATGGCAAATTTATGTGGAGTGGCAAAGGGAGGTCTTCTAAAATTAATTGGGTGAGTTAGGCAAGTATGTTTGAGCCTAAGAAGTATGGGGGTTTAGGATTTAAAAATCTTGCTGCTTTTAATCTAGCTTTACTTGCCAATACTGCATGGAGATTGGAGATGGAAGAGGATTCTCTTTTGTATAGGGTTCTTAAAGCGAAATATTTTGATTCTTGCAGTTTTCTTGATTTGTACTGTAGTAACAACTCTTCTCTGATATGGAAGAGTCTTTCTGCTGCCAAGCCTGTGATCACTCAAGGCACGAGGTGGAAATTTTCAGAAGGAGATAAGATTAATATTTGGCAAGATAAGTGGCTTCCGGACCAGTCTTATCCTTCAGTTTATACCGATGGGCAGGAGGTTCAGTGTAAATGGGTTGCAGAGTTGATAAACCAGGATACTCACTCTTGGAAGGAAGAGTTGGTGCGATGACTATTTAATGATAGGGACTCGAGACAGATTTAGCAGATCCCTTTGACACAATTTGGAGGTGATGATTGTAAGTTCTGGGGTGTGTCTGCTGATGGTTGTTTTTCTGTTAAAACAACATATAAAGTTGCTTTACAAATTTGTGATTCAGAGATGAGACCTATGGTTTTCGCAAGTTCCAGTACTCATCCTAGCAAAGAATATATTTGGAAACTCATTTGGAAACCACCGATTACCAGGAAGATTAAAATTTTCTTATGGCAATGCAGCCATGAGCGACTTCTGGTTTTGCTCAACTTGAAGAAAAGGCGGATTACAGAAGTTGCTACTTGTGGACTTTGTAGAGAGAAAGAGGAATCTGTATGTCATATGCTATTTGATTGTCCAATGGTTAAAATGGTTTGGAGACTCAGTCCATTAAGAAAACATTTTTCAGATGTGTGTGAAACTTGGGTTTCTAGATGGGGATAAATGTTCGCTATGTGGAAGGACAGTAACGAGATGGAGAAATTGTTTTGTCTGGCTTCTTTCTTGTGTTGGCAGATTTGGAAGGGGAGAAACAGTTCGATTTTTAATCAATTGAATTGGGATCCTACTCATGAGTTCCTTAACATTTCTGAGGATAATGAGTCTTTATCTTTATCTCGAAGTATCCCTAGCAGGCAATGGACTACTCCTCTTCTTGGGAGGTTTAAACTGAACACAGATGCTGCTTTTAATATTTGCTCTGGTTGCTGTGGTGGTGGGGTGGTACTTCGGAATCATAAAAGGTGAACCTGCAAGAGTGGCTTCTATTCATAATTCAATTGTTGCGACCGCGGAAGTTGCTGAAGCTCTTGTCTTGAGGAAAGGTTTGATGTTGCTTTGTCAATGGGGTCTATGTTGATGTTGATATAGAAAGTGACTGTCAGTCACTTGTTTATTTGAGACCTTCTCATCCTCTTTGTATGGCCATTATTCAAGACATTGTGGTCTTATTGCAAGGATCTAGGATTTAAGCACTTGTGGACTCCTAGATCTTGCAATAAGTTTGCTCATAAATTGAGTAAGTGGGCTCTTAGTCAAGGGATGGGAGACTTGCAGTGGCAAGTTTGGCCTTCATGTTCAAGGGATATTCCCTCTTCTTATTAATAAAACTGCTGTTGGTTTAAAAATATATATATACATATATATTTTCTAAAGTATATGTATAGAATATTATAGAGAGAGAGAGAGAGAGAGAGGTAGAGGGGTGCTTAACAAGTGGTATTATTTTGGAAAGGAAGATAAGCTTTTTTTTTTTTTTTTCAATTCCAAATCCAAAATGCTGATTTGGAGCTCTATTCTCTCCCACTTCAATTTACATGTAACATAAGAGAATCACTTAATTCATTTTACCTCACTTGAAATTTGAACCATTATCACCATATAATTAATGTAATTTATTTTACCTCACTCGAGACTTCAGCCATCGACCTCCTCTCATATCACCATATGATTAATGTAATTCATTTTACCTCATTCGAGACTTTAGCCATCGACCTCCTCACACCATCATACACGTGGTTCTTATTTCATTATTTATTCCTCTTAAAAAATACTTTTCTTCTCAGCAATGAAAATCAAATCATTTAACCTTTCTCTTGTTTTTTTGATTTATTTCCAAAATAAGATGGAAAACATTCCCTATCCAAAAAAAATATATAAATAAAAAATAAAAAAACAAAAGTCAAGAGTCAAGACTCTAGGTTTTAGTGAAAAAAAATTGTCTGATCAATATTGACTGAAGTGAACAACCCACGATTTGTCTCGAAAAGAAGATGGAAAACATGCCCTATCTAACTGAATGTTGAAAGTTTAAAAAGATATTAAAAAATATTAAAAAGAATATTAAAAAATTTAAGAATTGAAGTATTTAATTTTTAAACACCGTACCGATCATTGAATGCTGAAAATTCAACACCATACCTATCACTGAATGATCACAGTGCTATCTTGAAGAGAGAGTCTTTTTGATGTTTAATAAGAATTACAGTTTTAGTTTTTAACGCTGAAAATTCAGCGCCATCAATCACTGAATGTTGAACGATGCAAACTTTAAAAGATATCAAAAAATATTTATTTTTTAATTATCACTTAAAAACTTCAACAAACTTTCAAAATTTTCAGTTAATTTTTAGTTTTATCAAACAACATCATATCCACTTTGTCAATATAACACTCACAACACATTTCCTAGTTCATATCTAATAGTATGGTCTTCTTGCAATCTTCTTTCTTAGTCAAAATTCAATTTGTTACTCATCCACTTCCAAGGGCTTGAAATATTTTCCATCAATGAGGTAAGTCCCAATTGTCAGACGAACTGCCCACACATCCTTCGGCTTTCTTGACACAATTCTGCATACAATTTACAACTTAATAAGCACATATATTATTAAAAACAACCATTGATGCATAAAATTCACAAATTTATTTATTTATTTTTTTATTTTTTCAATTCTACATTGATATAAAATGACAGTGTCACTATAGCTTAAATAACCACAAACACAATGGTGATATTCTGTCCACTTCAGAAATCAAGTGTAATACATATCAATGGCTAGTCACTATGTCTTGCATGGTTCGCGACGTATCGGCTGGTTCGTAACGAAAAAGAGTCTGATACCATTACACACCTACATGAATGTAACTTTTCCATTCACACAAGTCTCATTTACTAAATCAAGTGTGAAAAAATTAACGATAGTCTTAGTTTGATGATTAGTGGATTCAAGTCGAGTCATTATATGTAAGAATAAGATTAAATAAACATTTCCTGAATTTGACATTCATTTACCTTGATCCGAGTTCTCATAAACAATTTGCGACTTTGAGGCGAGTTGTTTTCATTTGCCTCAACTTGATATAGGTTTCACATAGAAGTTTTCAGATAACAACAAACTAATTCGTGAAGTATTTTTTACTGGATATTTCATTCCTACATCTCTTCTCTTTATTTTCCCAGGCCTCTAGTGGGGTACGGACAGAGTTTGACAAGATAAATCTTGGCGCTGATATGAGTTTTTTACTTCTCATATAGTGAAAACATAATTTTTGACTTTGAGACGCATAGGATACAACAATAGCCCAAAGGGTTACACATCTTTATTATACTTTCTTAATTTTGTTTACAATAACCACCTCTATTTATAGGTGAATTGGGGGAGACTTGTGGTTACAGAACAGAATTTTCCTTCTCTACAAGTATTTTATAATAAAGGAATTACACAGAAAGTCAAATACAAATATGACAACAACTTGTTGCCCAAGTATAACAACGTGAACATTTTGTCAAGACAACTCTGATTGAAAAGTTCCATGAGTTTGGATTTTGACTAGACCGGTTGCCAATTCTGCCATATATACCAAGGAGTGATTCAAGAGCTTGAATCACTCCTATAATTATTTTCTAACAGAAAGAAAGTGTAGGCCCTTGTTATGAGAACTGGGAAGAGTTATATTTGCTTATTTTTGTTAGGATGATTATACTTCATTAAGTAAATCTGAGAGATTACAGTATAGTTTTGGTGATCAAAGGATGTTATCCTAGAAAGATAATTGTTCATTTAATTGAAAGTAAAGTGTATATACAACATTGTGGAAATTATAAAGGAAAATAAGTTAATGAGTCACACAATGAAATTGTGGAAAATACTAATAGAGCAAAAATTTAGAAAAGATTAATATCTGATAACGAATTTGGATTTATGTCAGCTAGATCCACCACAATGGAAACTGTTGAAGGATTTATATATTTAAGTTACACCCCCTCTAATAGCTTAAAATTTTGGAGTATATGGTAGTTAATATAGTATTAGAGCCAAAGGTGTCGAGTTCAAATCTCACCGCCACCTTAGTTAAAAAAAAAAAAATGAAAAACATGTGTTGGACCAAAAAGAGGCCATACATGAGGCAGCGTGTAGAAGGATTTATATATTTTCTAATAGCTGCATATGGTTTTCATAAATCTAGAGAAGACATATGATTGAGACACCAAGGAACAATACGGTGTTGAATTCATACATATTTTCAATAATATTAGACGAAATAACGAAATATATTCAAGAAAATATCCCTTGGTGCTTGTTATTTGGGGATGATATAGTATTAACTATTACAAAGCCTTAGCAACAAAATGCGAAATATGGAGAAAGGCACTAGAATCAAGGGCCTAAGAGTTAGTAGAACCAGGGGCGGAGGCAGCATGTGCCCAGGGGGGCAGCTGCCCCCCTGCCCATGCTGCCCCACCAAAATTTTTTATTTTTTTTATACATAGATTTGTAAAAATTGATAAAATGCCCCCCTAAAATTAATAAAATGGTCCCTCTGCCCCTGAATCCATTAAATTTTATTTTATTTTATTTTATGCGTATAATTTGTAAATATTTATAAAACACCCCCACAAAATTTATAAAGTATCTTTCATAAAATTATCTATTTCTAAAAACGTCCTTAATTCTTTATTCCTTTTCCTTCTTATTCTTCAAATTTCTTTTTGTCATCTTCAAAAACTTTTGCATTCTCTTTCTACAATTAAAGCCTATTTTTCCTTTTAAAATTCTCTCATATTTTTTTCTTTTTATTTCATTTTCTTCTTAAAAAATTTCTTTTTTCTTCTTAAAAACTTCTTTTTTCTTCCACTCATGCATAATTTATGTACAATAACCTTCTTTTCTCTCTTCTTATTTATTTTTTATTCACTTATTCTAATGCACTGTTGTTACACAATTATATTTTAGGCCTGCTTGAAATTTTTTTTTTTGTCAATGCTAACATACCTCTTGAACCAAATTCCTAGCTCCACCCCTGAGTAGAACTAAAATGGAATATATGACATGTAAATTTGATAAAGTAAAAAACGATGACAATATAAATATTACACTTTAAGACTAAAGAGTTACTCAAAACAACTTTTTCTGTTACCTAAGATCTATATTACAAAAGATGGGGAGATAGATGGTAATGTGGTGAGTAGGGTTGGACCCAAGTGGACAAAATGGAGGCAAGCTAGTGGTATATATCCTGTGATAAATGAATGCCAAATAAATTAAAAGAAAAATTCTATAGAACGGTTATTAGGCAGGCAATATTGTATGGAGCGGAGTGTTGGGGGTTGAAAAAGAAGCACATTAATGTAACATAAATGAGGATGTTACGTTGGATGATAGGAATTGTAGAAGAGATGAAATAAATAATGAACGTGTGAAGAAACACCAAGTATAGTGCCTATAAATGATAAAATTAGGGAAAATAGACTTAGGTAATATGGTCATATTCAACATAGACCCGATGATGCACCTATTAAAAGATGAAGAGTTATTTGTTTAGAATTTAAGCGACAAAGATGCCAATCAAAGCTTACGTGGGATGAAATAATAAAAAATGACTTCAACAAAAAAAAAAAAATCTTAAATCTAAGAGACAACATGGTGTATAATAGAAAAGAACGAAAAAAGAAAATTTTATGTAACCAACCCGTCAATATGGGATAAATACAAGAATAATGATGATTAAAAATATGTCAAGCACAATTCTTAGTTGCATGGTACAAGTTTATAGTGATATAATATTTGGCATTGAAAAAATTTGATATTTAATTTCGTTACAGTTAAATTTGTTATAGGATTGATTATTTTCATCCATATGCTTAGTAGGTGGGAATTATCTAAATTTTTTTTTCATATAGCAAAGGATATCAACAAGGGATGTGGTGTGATAGTGCAGTGGTAGGACATGCGATGCTTGTGGTCAAAGTCAAAGGTCCAGGTTCGAAAAAATATCAACAAGGCTGATAGGCTCGGGGCAGGGCACCCTTACCCCAGCTGCCCAGCATGTACTATTAAGAAAATTTCCTTCTCAAACTCGCCTTTCCATTAAAAAAAAAAAAAAGTAAAAATCCCAAACAAATTCAAGATTTTTTTTGAGAAAAAAATAAAAAAGTATAAACAAATAATTACCAGCTATATGCATGAATTTCTTGACATTGTGGTTAGAAATTGAAAAGAACATGAAAAAGAATAAACTGAGAAAGATGCTAATGATAGAGTACAGTCTGTAGTGTTTTTGGAAAAAAAAAAAAAAAAAAAAAAAAAAAAACCAAAAAGAAATAAATAAAATAAAAATCCCATTTTTTTCTTTAACAACTAAATTTGCTTCATGAGATGTCAAGTAAGTAGGTCACAATCTTTTAAGCCAGGGTCTCACTAAATATGATTGTACACTGATAGATGCTACTTATGAGTTAAGGTCATTGGAGATTGACTAAACCTTCAAAAGAAAAATGATCAATTTTTTGGAATTGATATGACAATTATTGAGATAAATAAATTATATTTTTCACAACAACGGTACGCCGAAATTGGATCCATCAAAATGGAGTATTTTGGAACTTAACAGTCTCTGATTAAATTTTTCTCAAAACGTGTCTACACACCAACTTCTTCTTTCCGTCACAAAAAAAAAAAAAAAAAAAAAAAAAAAAAAAAAAAATTATTCTCTTGAAAATCATTATGTAATGCAGAGATACTTGTAAAAATCTTAAAATTGCCCTCACTCAATTTCTAATAATACCTAACTATTTATTATTGTTGTTCAAGATCACTCCCTCTCATATAATTTTCAGAGTCCGTCACTACATACTGTGTTTATACAGTTAGGAGGTGTCCACATGTCTCCCAGTCCCCGGAATGTGAAATCTCACAATTGGACATTAATTTCTGTTGAAAATCACCATGTAATGCAGAGAGAGTTGTATATATGCATAGATATAACGTATGATGGTTATAGATACAAGAGAGAGAGAGAGAGAGAGAGAGAGAGAGTACCTTCCAACGTCACCAGGCTTGACTAACCCAGAATTGACTCTGAGACAGGGAACAGAAGCAGCAGTTTTCAACATTTTGGGAGCTTCAATGACGATGATTGGGGACCCAATTTGGAGCAGTTTAGAGCCTTTGGTGGACAACCCATTACCATTACTCCCATCTGCTGCTGCCGATGATGACTCTTTGAATTCACACTTGGTAGTTAGTCTGATGTTGTGGGCTCGAATATTAGGGTTTGAGTAGTGCTTGAATTGCAAGATTAATGAAGGACTGTTACGAGGAGTTAAGCATGGAAGCGTTGGCGCAGATGATGAGAGAGACAGTGCCATATGATGAAAATGAGATGATGGTTTTGTGGTGGCTCTTAGTTCTCAATAGATTTTGACTTACGTTTCTTTAAAGATTGTGTAAAGACGAAAGTGACCGTTGTTAAAACACCATATATTTGACCCGCGCCATACATGGACCGACATATGCTTGGTGTGTAAATTAGAAAAGTAAAAATATATAAGGTAGACAATTAAAAAGGAAACAAAATTATAATGTAATGCGCTAGGAGAGAATACTATATTTGTTTATTGGCTATATGACGGGTCCACCAAACAATCATGGATTGGCTCTTATACATACGGGTCCACCAAACAACCATCTATGTTGTATACACCGATGCATGAAACTCACACATCCATCTATATCGCAACAAGTACTCTACCGTACTAGTAACCATCCTAATGCTCGACCACATACACACATAAATATATAGATATATATGTGTGTATATATATATAGAATGACTGTACCCCACAATATCATACGAAAAATGCTTTCAATTAACATCTACATTTCATTTGCATATACCGGTATCTAAACACGTAAGCACTTAGCAAATAGGCATGCCTTTCAAAAACATTAAACAGGTAACAAGTAAACATGCTTCTTAAACAGTTAAGTACTTTAACACATAGACATATAAACGATGCAAGTCAACTCTCTACCCAATCTAGGTAAGCCACTATTCATCATCCGAAACCTAACGCACTGATACCAAATTTGTAACGATCCGAACCTGAGGGTCCGAATCGCTAACCGGGTCCTTACCCGAACCCGAGGTCGTCTAAGGGCACTATGATCAATTCCAAGGTTGATACATAATATACGTGCCACCCCAAGGCTTATACGAAAAAAATGAGATCACAAATACAAAAGATATCAAAACAGTCCACTAACCCATTCAAACTTGTGGAGGAGCGTCGTTCGCTACTTTTTTCCCGTGACCTGAAAAATATAATAATATGATGGGGTGAGCCAGCCGCTCAGTAGGAGGTGTCTAAGACACACCTCTTATGACCCCGTAAATTTACGCAAAGAATAGATTACAAGTAAACAGAATCATGTCTCGGAAGAACAAGTAAAACAATAATAATATCAACAAATATATACACAAGTCATTTGACTACCAAGTGTGCAATATATGCCATGCCATGAAATGTTGCTCCCCATTTCCGAAACAATACCGTTTCACCTTTCTAAACCGTTAGTGCAATCTAACCCAAGGCGACTCCAAGGTGTTATAAGAGGAGGATTGACTAATTATCCACGACTACAAGGAAATTGTAAGGCATCATATCCGGCCTAAGTAGCTCAACCACGCTAGGTTCTCTCCCTAGTCCCCTCTAGACCACACTAATGCCACAGATCACTAGGCACCTCCTAGGCGTTCAGGTTTTCGCAAACCCTTTTCAAAACATTTTCCCCAAAATAATTTTCACTTGCTTTTCAAAATATTTTCCCCTTTTCTTTCCCAATGGAATGTATGAATGCTTCGTGCTTTCCAAATTACCATAATCTCATACAATTCAACCTTAACAATATTACATGCCAATTAAGAAGCAAAATTCTCACAAAATTATAGCATGCTTATTATTCACAATTTTCAGCAATTAATCACTTAGGACAAGAACAAAATCATAGCATGCTCATCTCAAATCAACAAATCATATACACACATATCACTTAAAAATGAAACTCACATGGAAATAAAATTCATATATATAATATCATAACAATTTTTCAAGAAATAATCACAATTAAACATAATATACATCAAATATAGGGGAATGAAACACAAAAATCAAAGAGTGTATGGATTAGAGCACCCCTACCTCAAAATAAATTCGAAATCCCAAATGGTGGCCAAACGGCACTTTACTCCGATCAAAACGAAGATCTTGACGCGCCCATCAACTTTGCCTTAAGTGGCAAGATCAAATTCTTAAAGGTGAGAGAGAAATCAAGCCTTGAATTGTTGAAGAAAAGAAAAAGAAAAAATAAGGTGAAGGGAGAGAGAGAGTCTGGCCGAGAGAGAAAAAACCGGTGGCTGAATGGTGGTCTTAAGGCCATTATAATGGATGTATATTAGTGGGTTCCACCAATGAATAAATATCTCATTTAATAACTTTAATATATATATATATATATATATATATATATATATATTCTAATTATACAACCACATAATTAACTATGTAACCATAGAAAATGCACTAAATAACCATGCATGAAATGCAATGGACCCATGATACAACTCTCGTGCACAACAACCCTCGTAGCGGGTCCCACTTAGGACCTCCCGGTCTGAAAAATGAAAAAATACCGAAATAGGAACCAATGCATTTCCACAAACCACTAGAATCCACAGTACTGTCACATCAACATAACGCACAATACCATGCTCTCACTGTCCCTGACAAATCGAAACAATCATTGAACTTTGACCCGACATCGTGCTAAAGAGGGACTAATTCAGGAGAAATGGTTGGCCAGGCCTTTCTCATCCTCGATCTAGTTTTAGCACAGAAGTCGTTCCTGTCCTCAGGTCCAAACCTCAAACACAATCTCACACAGTCCACAAAACAACCATTAGATCCACTCATTATCAATCCATCGCTTTACGTAACCACAATGACTATACAGTCACATATCTACTTTAAAATCCCAATCATGCCTTAATCATAACAAGCTAAAAACAACACAACGCCAAATACCATAATCTTCAACTAGCATAAAAGCTCTCTAGTATTTCATAACACCCATACCAGGTAGACAACTCTATAACATCATTTGATTCAATTCTTACTTCGTCAATACACATAATACGACTATCTCATGCCCGAGATCTCAAAACCAAAATAAATCATTCCCATTATTCCTCTACCGATCCCACATTTATCTTCTCTAATCATGTAATTCTAAGGCGACATCGACACTAGCCTTCAAGACACTACTCAAAACAAACGCCTATAAAATATCCGAGTGCATGACTCACATCACACACCTACTCATCCTCAAACTTACAATTCACGACAAATCCCCTAGCCATCACCGCTAATACTAGACACTGGAAACACACAATCCCTATTCGGCAACTCGTGCCTCACACACCATCGGTCAAAACCACTCTTAAGCACTACTAAAACCAAAGACTACACATCCCTTTGTGGGAGTGAGTCAACCAATACAAACAAACCTTTATCGGTGACCTCTTACAGCATAACAAACCACATACAGGTCAGCCCATCTACGGATGCGCACAACTTCTAAATGGAGAACAAGACTCCCAACCAACGACGTTCTTGCCAAGACTAGAACAAATGGAAAGGGTAACGAACCCCACTCTCACAAGAGACTGATGACTCATACTTGAATACACCTAACACCCTGTCACACGTTGCTCACCAATCGTCCAACCGTAGACACTCAATCTCACCCGAGATGAACTAAACTCCTTATACACAAGGAGAAGAACCAACTGGGTACCCATACAGAACTACAAACTCAAATCTAAGCGATCTCGCTACTAACGGACAGTTAAACACTATCAACACCGAAGCCTCGCATACGTTATACCGCCAAAATCAAACAAGTCTACACCACCTATTTGTCGAATACTAAGATATAGCTCACAACATGACCATCAAATAAGAGCATCAATACTCACAGTGTACTAACACTAGAAACGATCACTGCCTATCGGATAACGCATCCTATTCTATCTGGAACTCGTCGCTCCCAAATGACAACCTCTATACTATAAAATGACACTTTACCACCCATTCCATCTCTACCTTCCTAGGCGATACTACCTCGAACACTGTGCACATAAGGCTCATGACTTCAGTCACAGCAACCCACTACTCATCAAAAGAAAAAGATGTCTATATGGCAACATCGCCCGTACTGGCTTTAGAGACTAAATCGTCCACAATCGCCTTAATTAGCGCACAATCCCATCACCTACCTAACAACACACAACAAATAACTTATACTACCTAATCCACTCTCGGATCATACCTTAAACCATTTTGTTCATCCTTGCTAAACATCATGCCATAATGCCTCTACTACCATCATCCTCGAATGATAACTCGAACTCACGTCTCACCAACTCAACAGGCTACTGCCAAGCAATTCCCCTCAGGCATCCCCAGGATGACACCATCACAACAAGAGAGTAAGCATTACTCTCGATACTCCCCACAACGACCACTAGAAAAGAACCTCCATATAGCAATGCCATGCCGACAAATCCTAAAGGGAAAATGAGCATAAAAGCCAGAATACTCAACATCCAACTGGCTCCTCAAACCATCTATAACACAATCAGTCATTAACACTTAATCGGTTACTTTGACCATTCTTCCCAAGACAATCTACATACTCAACCTAAGAAACCTTACGCCTTAGTGTCAACACCATCGTTTTCCTTCTTTATTGTTCCTCAAAACACCATTGACCTCGACAAAAAGTTAAAATGGGGCTACCAACTAGACCTACGAGATCACCCTCATCCCAATCATTCTAGTCATCAGTCTGTCTCTTCGAATCCTCATACAACCAGCACTATCTCTAGATACCCCAGATGCAACTTGAAACACATCTCCAGTCCACAGCTTTCAATTTCTAAAACACAATACACATGGTAACACAGTACTTACCCTTTATCACCTTATCCGTAAACAACCAAACACACTAATGACCACATATTACATGCCTTATTGTGCAATCCTGCACTACACAACTAAAACTGACCACCATACACCACCTCGAGATTCTCTCGACAACCGTGCCAACCCATAACCCTGCTCATTGACTGAGCCATGCAATCAACTCTTCGAGAGTTAATCACCCGCAACACACTCCCGTAACTTCCTGAAATGGAAATCACCCCTCAACAAACCTGTCTCTAAAATAGACTCTTACAAAATCATGAAATGAACCACATCAAACAGTCGGTCACCCGATACTGGCATGACTCCTGTTAATGCTTATGTTACCCTAGACTTACAAAGTCCACCAAGTCCCCTTAACAATCAAAAC